CTTGTTTCTCCATGTTCTTATTATATAGCTCTGACTGTCCTGGAATTCACCATGCAGAAGAGGCTGGTCTTGAACTCATAGCTGCTTTGGAACTCACAGAGATCCATATGCCTATACCTCTGAAGTGCTGGGATTAAAGGCATGTGCCAACATGCCCGGCCATCTCCAAAAGAGAAACTGAGCTTGCCCTTTTAATTCCCAGTAATAGAGAGAATATAAGGAGCTCAGTTTAGTCTCAGGCAGCAGTCTGAGACTTGGGGAGGAACAGTGCAGTCTGGAGATGCAATCTGAGGTTCAGAGGATTGCCCCCTTGGTCTGAGTATTGGTAAAGGAGAGAACTCTCAAGTGCCTGGCCGCTTTGCTTTTCTGATTTTCAGCTTGAACTCCAATATCTGTCCCTGTGTTTTTATCATTCATGCAACAGGGTGTGGTCTGAGCATCTGAGACCTCAAAGCCCACTCCCAGTGACATACTTCCTCTAACAATGCTACACCTGCTCTAACAAGGCAATATGTTTCATTAGTGCTACTCTCTATGAGCCTATGGGGGCCATTTTCATCCAATCCACCATACCCCTGAATAGGAGAAAATTTAGATGCTAAATCATTTTTTTCCAAAACATTATGCCTGTTGGAGAGATTCTAAGGCTTTTGCTCTTGCTCATTGCACTGGAGTTAGGCACACACTTGTGTTGTAGTTGTTTTAGTCACTCCTGCATGGGTTGCTCCTTTGTTTTTAAGTTTTGATACCTGTTGAAATACTCATAGGACATGTACCCTACCATCTTTGTAGTCAGATGATGGCTCAATCTATTCATGACAGAGAATGCCAGAGCACCCATTTTTTTCTTTTATAAATAAATTAGGAAACAAACATTGGGGTCTATAAAATTCTCTGTTGTATTAATATAGAAGGACAAAAGCCTTCTAAGTATCTCCCAGGTATCCATTCTTCTCAACATTGGCCAGTGAGATAGAGAAAGGAAGACAATGTTTACAAAGAGCTTACTCATTTTAAATTTCAATTCCAGGTGTTGTTTCTGGACTATGTTAGGCTGTGGCTGGTCATATCCAGCACCCTTTGAGGGCAGCCATGAGATCTATATACAGAACAAGAGCATTAAATAAGAAAGGATACATGAAGAAGTCTCTGTACTCAGACTGTGTAAGACTTTCACTGGCAGTGCAGGGGAGGTAGCTCAGTTTGAGAGCCCTTCTCTAGGATGCAGGAGACCTTGGGTTAGTTTCTCAGCACTGCAGGAACTGGGTGTGGTGGCAATCAGGAGATCAACACAGTAAGAGCCAAGTGAGACTGAAACTAGCATGGCTACTGGAGACACTACCTCATTGAAACCAAACCAGACAACCATAAATGTCATGATAGTCTCACCATCCTTTCTACTTTGTAAATTGAGATTTATCCATGTGGTTCATGGATGGGGGCTTGGGCAATGTCTCTGGGTCACAGACTCTCTACTTGGAAGCATGGTGAAGCACTGAGCAGCCAGCCACCAGGTAGGAACTCTCTTGCCTGAGATCCTGGCCCTGGAAAAGACCTTTTTCTTGATAACCTTGAGAATTTTAAGTTGTGAAGATGGACATTGTTGAGATATATAAGCTTTAAAATCAGATTTTTATAGATTACTTCAATGCAAAGCCAGAAGGGGAACAGAGTTTCTAGATACAGTTACTAGCCTCTACAAAGCAAAACAAATTTACAAGCACAACCTTGGAATCAAAGGGAAACAGAACCCCTGAAGGAGTTCTCATGAACAAGGGATGGTGACTGGGAATGCATCCTATTATAGCAGCTGTTAAGGAAAAGTAGCAGTGGGGGTCTGCAGAGGATGCTGACACTCAATTCCTTTCAGTGAGGTTTGTTAGCATGAGGGGTACTCAAGGGCATCATGGTGCCTCATGGTGGGAGGGAGCACATAGGATAGAAACAATATCTGGAGATTGATCTGGACATGGTGAGGCCTTAAAGGGAAGGGAAAGATGCCTTTTGAAACATTGGAAAGGAGTTTTATTGAGAGAGAGAGAGAGAGAGAGAGAGAGAGAGAGAGAGAGAGAGAAAGGGAAAGAGAGAGAGAGCGATAGCGAGCACTATAGAGGAGGTTCTGACTTTTTATAATCTTTTAGAGCTAATGAGGATTTTCACATCATATAATTTAGTTGAGCATAGCCTGCTTGATAACTATCACGGAGAAGCTAGGTACCATAAACTAAGAGCTGTCAAGTTGCAGCATGATCTGCTTCTAAATTTTCTGTTCTAGAGAAAAACTTCAGGGATGTGTGGACTGATAAAGGCTTTGGCATCTGATCTAAAGTTGCAGGCTATGTTGAGTTCTAACAGTACCAGATTTTAATGTGTGAGATGGTATGTATAATCAGTGGTTAGGAGCATAGGTTCTCATAGCTAAAGCCTGGCTGGAACTTGCTTAGTTCTGGCTTTGCCATTTATTAGCCATGTGACCTCAGATTGTATCAATGTTTGATATGCTTTGGCCTTTTCTCCCATGCATGGGTTCAATACCAGATGTAACTTAGCGCTGTTGGAAGAGTCAGTGATTCAGCATATGCATTCTATGTTCTTTCAGCTGCATTCAGCAGTTGTCTCATAATTGTTTGCCATTATCATTATTGTTACTTTCTATGTTTGGTATCATCATTGTTATCATCTGCATGCAATTAAAATTATTTTTGAGACAGGGGCTCACTAAGTAACCCAGGCTAGCTTCAAAACCACCATTTCCCATTCTCTGCTTTCTCTGCTGGGAATACTGGCTTATATCACTATGTCCAGGTAATCAGAATATGAGTTTTTGGTTAGTTTGTTGGTTTTAAGGTTCTGGGTTTTTTTTTTTTTGTCTTGTTTCATTTTGTTTTTGAGTTCCCCATTATTTAGCAGAGGAGGACCTTGAATTCCTGACATTTCTGCCTCTACCAATCAGGTGCTCAGATTATAGGTGTGCACCACCATGTCTGGGCTAGATGTCTTCAAAATGCTCATCCTATTTCAGCCTATAGGTCCTCTATCAGGTTTTCAGTTTGTTTCCTATCTTAGGTGGTCTTCCCCCCTGCCCCTGCTTCCTCCCAGTTACCTGCTCCTCATATTCTCACAGTGAAGGCACTCATTCAAATATTTATGTGAGTAAAGGATGTCAGAAGAGATTATGCTATGCTGAATACTTTATTTATATTTTTAATGTAAACATAATTTGCTCTGTAGGCACAATATAACAATATAATGAAAGCTCTGAAGCCACAGACACATTTGACGATGTTCCAATAAAGCTCAACCTTCCAGGAGGCCTTTGTGGCTCCCTTTAAGGCAAACAGATATTCTTTACACCTCCTCTAGGAAACCATCACGAGAGGGGAAGGAAGGTGCTTAACACAAGAGTCCACAGGATGACAGATTGATTCCAGTTGTCCCTCATCCACCCTTCTGTTCTCCAGGGTGATGCTGGTCACACTCAGGTTTTCACATTCTGTGTTTTCAGTAGAGGAGAGGTTTGCCATGTGTAATCAGTGGTTGGGGAGAGATGACTTCCTATGTGTCTCTGCTGTACATCTGGATTCTGAATGTGAGTCAGGTTCTGTGTCCCCTGAAGGAGAGCCCTCCTATAGCCAGTGACCAGAAGTCTATTTCTACACTTTGAGAGTGTTCTTCTGATCTACCCACCCTTGAGCATGATTATAGTGGAAATGTGACTGATTACATGGTATTTAGCAAGGGCCATCATCCCTCAGGAGTCCTAGTCACTCTCTGGGGCTAGAAAATAAAAGTCTGTAGTCAGCACTCTCTTTGTAATATTCTTATCTCTTGACTTATTGGCTGGTGATACCTTTTCTCATCTTCATATTTGACTTGTACAGTCACAGTGAGGAAAGACTCCATTCAGGTAAATATTTGGCATGAAGAAATCATCATCACAGATTCAGAATTGAGAAAAAGGAACATGATGAATGACATGAGACCGGTTACAGAGACTTTGCAAACCAAGCAAGGATTTGTTGAAATGGGTTCATTCTCAGCTCATAGGAAGAGTGGGGTCTACCCTGAAGCTTATTATTGGAGAAGGTGGGCAAGACAGGAACCCTCTTTAAAGTTTTCAAGAATGTAAAGAAACTTGGAACACTAACTCAAGGTCATGGGGGAGCCCATTAGGTCTTCCAGAAGGCAAAAGAAATTCAGGGTGTTAATTGCATGGGTGACTTTTGTATCTAGTTTGATTTGTGAGTGACATACAAACCCTTAGGACAGGAGGGCTGGAAGGGGGAAATAAGGAGCCCTACTATGGAGGGAGACTCCTTTTCCTTTAAGGTAACAGTTGTCACTTCAAAGCCCATTAAAAAGGATGAGGATATTTCTTTCAAGCTCGAAAATTGAACAGGGTATGTGATTAAGCAATTTGGTCCCTGATTTCTAAGGAGCCTGCAAGTCAGCACCATGATTTTGTGTGTTGGAGAGGAGGACACACACTTGGCATCAGATGCTGGGGAGCTACCATCTGCATCCCTTGTGCTGGTTGCACAATAGAACAAGCTTTGAGAAGGCAAAGAAACCAATTGATTTTTCAACCCCAAATGTGGTCTTCAGGGGAGCTCTTCCTTGGATAAAGGTGTTTCTTGGGCAGGAACTTAGAAATAACCATAGTAATTCTGAAGACTGAGAGTGAATTTAATGGCATCTGAGTTAGACCTACATGTGGTAAGTGTCCTTAGGGTTTAAATAAGGTGTGTGGCCATGGGGAGGACTTTGCTCATGAGATGTGGTTTCAGAGGAGAGGTCTCTGTAGCTAGTCCTCAGATAGATGCTGTTGACCCATCTCTATCCTAGAAAGAATGTACATCTGCCTCCCTAGGTATATGAATAAGAACCAGGGGCTAGGGTTAAAGAGAGGCTCAAACCTTAAGGTGAAGAGACAAATGCAGGGATGTGACCTCTTAGAGAGAAAGAGAGTGACAAAGTACTGTTTGAAGAAGTCTGCATTTATAAGATCGTGAATACTTCTCCTGGCCTACTCTCTTTCCACTAGCCAAACTGTCAAGTGTCACAGTTGGAGGCATAGCTGATTGCTGGCAGGCAAAGAGTGTCATTGGCCTGAAGAATAATGGGATCTGGATAGGGCTCTGTGACAATACCTTTCAATCAAACTTGGCCTTGCCCAAGTCTGTTTTCAGACATTGGGCCCTGTGGTCTTGTATTAATTTGCAAGGCTATTCTAGAACTGTCAAGAAGTACCCAACGAAGGATGGGTTTGATACAAGGTAGAGGGGAGAGTGTGATACCCAGACCAGGAAGGGACACAATACTGCATGGAATGGGATTGGCACTTAATTCCAAACACAACAGTGATCAACAGCTTCTTAGCTTGGCTGACTGCAGACAAACACGACACGCACTGGACTACAGCATTTGTTCACTGGGGCACAGGAAAGTTCTCATGGCGGCCATTTTCTCGTCAGCCGTCTTCTATGTTCTCAGATATGAGGTCTTACTGGATGAAGGGCATCCTTTCCTTGTTCTCGCTGTCGCCTTCATGGTCCTCTTCTTCCTCCCCCTGCCTCGCTGGTCTCAGTGCTATCATTGGCCATCTGCAATTCAACACAGGTCATGATGGAAGTTATGTACCTACTCCCCTTACCATCTCTAAGCATTGTGGGGAGGACCTCTTTCAGAGTGGTCATTCTCATAGGAGAATGTGCCTCTGAGGACCCTTTCTGTACCCTTTACTAATACTCAAGGCCCCACTACTTCCTTTAATGTCACTTGTTACCTCTGGAGTTGATATCATTTGATCCATCCTGAATCTTACAATGTCCTAGATTCAGTTTGACTTTATTCTATCTTCCATCTAGAAGGGCTGTGACATCTTCCCTACCACAAATGCTCCAAAATGCTCCAAATACCCATCCTTTACTGTTTCTTTGTTCCTTTGGGTGTCAGGGCAAAAGCATTTCCAGAAAACAAGAGCAATAATTCAACATGGGTAGACCCTAGCTCTTGACCTGAATTGGGAGACTATTTGGCCTTAATTTGATGGGCTCTGCCCCTTGGTCAAGCAGACTAACACCAGCCCAAGGGCTAGCTCATAGGTTCATGGAGATAGGCAGTGCTTGGGCATGGAAAACTAGTGCCAGCTACTTTGCTTAAATGTAATAGTTGGCCAGGGCAGCTCTAGATCCTTCTATGCATTGGGCTGGAAGAGACCCATTCATGTAGGCCACAGTGTATTTACATGGGAGTTTGGGGATCCTAGTTGCTCTCCCTAACCTCATGCCATTTCCCCCTCAGTCCTATGACTTCATACTTTAAAAACATATCTATATTGTTATCAGTGGCTTGTGTCACAAAGTACTTTCTCCTTTAATTGTTCTGTATGGAGTGAAATGACCATTACGCTTGAGCCATGTTATGGCTAAAGAAGATCAGGAGCTATTCCTGAAAATACAAACTTGGACTGAGAGCTACAGATCATTTTAGTCATTTTTTTTTCTTGAAAAAGACAGACATTGACACAAGACTAGTGTGTTAGTAAAGAAACTTAAACCAACAACAAACCTCCATGTTTTCTTTGTTTATCTTACCTAGAATTTAGGACGGCCAGCCATGTTCAGTGAATGACTTTCTAACTGACCTAGGAGAACCTGTCAATTTCTAGCTCATAAACAGGACCAAAGCTGGAGTGTAAAGCAAGCTTCCCAGGTTGAAATTGACTGAGTACCAGGCTTTGAATGCATGCAGTCAGAGAGTCTGTGCGTTGGGGGTTAGACCACATGCAACCTCTCCCCTCAAACAGCCAGTGAATCCCAAGTGCTGTATTTTCATGGATTGCCTGGATATCAGGGTTTTATCCTAATTAACAGAAGTGAATTGAACAGGAGCACTAGGAGCATCCAGAGGCAGCTGGCACCATTCTGTTTGGCACATGCAGTACATTTTGTAGAATTGCCTAGGAAGTCTTCTCATTGGTAGCCTGGAGACAGCAACTATAAATGGTCCTTTTCTATCCATTCCAGTCCATCTTCACTAGCAATTTTCCTGTCTTTCTCCACTTTCATCTCAGACCGTGGCTATCCTTCATTCTTGGATCATCTGATCACCTTGGTTTTTGAGAGCATGTAAACTGCTCATATTTCTTTCTTCATCATCTGTGCCTACACCTGATTATCCATCAATTTTCCTTTGGTGTTGAGCCGGTAGTTTCCCCTGCATCCCACTTACCAGCGGAGTCGGGGTCTTTTCCACATCCAGGATTAACTTCCCAATGTTCCCTCGGTCGTGGATGCGCTGCATGGCCTCCTTTACCTGAGACACAAAGTCAGACAGACAAGCACTGTTTAGTGAGATGTGGCTTCTGGAAAATGGGCCTGGAAAAAAAAAAATCAACTCTCCAGCCTTCCACCAGAGGGCGCTGCAGCTCAAATAGTGGTTCTGATAGCAACTTTTTGTGGTCATACACTCTGATCATCTCTTGTAAGTCTGGTGGGTCTGAAAAATGAATGCAGGGGGATTTGTGGGATAAATTGAGAAGACACTGAGCCACTGCTCTTTACATCGTGTGTGTGTAATATATATATATATATATATATATATATATATATATATATATATATATAGTCAGAGTGGTGAGACTAAATGTTAAGCATTTGTGAGGGTCATTTGAGACAGGCTTATTTAAGTTTACATAACCCTGATTCATAATTTCATTAAATAAATCAGTTATCAGGGCTGAACCTTCTTTGCAGAATTCCCATGTTTTATAGTTGCTGGTACGAAACCTCTTTTACCTAGCAGGAACACTCTTCAGAAGAGAACTCTCCCTAGAAAAAAAAGGACAATAGTTTCCTTCTCCATGTCCAGGAGTTCATCAGACTCACGAATGTCCTGGGGACGCTCTGTGAAAGGAAGGTTGTAATACACAATCGTGTTTGTCCTGAGCCTTCCCTTCTGCAGCTGTGTAGAAAGTGAACTGAACTGCAGGGGGCGCTGTGGGAATTAATGGAGACGACACCAAGCCCCGTATGCTCTCCACATCTTAGTGAAATGTAAATGGGAATGCAATTTCTCTTGCCTCACAAAAGTCAATTTATACAAATTTATAGTAGATTGAGTCTAAATATTTTTTGTAAAGTCTCACAATTCGAAATATTTTTGTTTCTTCGGCCCACAAATATTCTGTAAACATTGCATCAAGGCTAGATGCTGACATTAAAGGAAAAGTCAGAGATAGTTTGTGAGCTTGTGAGGAGCTCAGCCTGTGGCTGATGAGAACGGTTTGCTTATTTGAAAATCAAAGGTTTCTATTCATTTGGATCCAAACTCACAGAACCATTAAAATGTTTGTGTTCAAACTGCTTTTCTGGGACTTTAGAGACACAATTCAATTTATGGGAGAAAAACATAAAAGATAATGACTGCATTGCTTTCAGTGGCAAAACCCTGAAACAGCTTATATGTCACAGTAAAGGGATGGGTAAATAAACAATGGCTTCTACATCCATCTACCAAATGGAAATGTTGCATAGCTGTTAAGGAAAAGCAAGATATATATCACTAATTATCAAGAAGACACAGCAGGATCGGATGCTTTTGTAATCTTGCTAAATGAGAAAACCAACAGACGCATTTTTATTTACATCTCTATAAAGATGTAGATATTCTAAAACAACTAGGAAGGCTTGCAGGTGTACCTTGAAAATTAAGTGGAGAAGAGGAGAGCCTTTTAATTCTACCATCCAAATAATGCCAGCATGCTATGTGCTGGCAAATCAACATTTAATATCAATTTAATGCATCTTTCAAATGCAATGTTTTTGGTCAAATCGTGGTGAGAAACAATCTTTCTGTGATGGGTAAGTTTTTTTTTTTTTTTTTTTTAACCCCAATAAGTAAACCAGTTGATTCCTTCCGTTTACGTGGTGACTTCTGAAGTAATTTCACACTTGGTCATAACAAAAGGTATCATTGCTGCTCCTCGGTATCTGTGGCAGGCTGATTCCAAAGCTCTTCATGGATTCCAACATGGGTGGGTTCTCTTTTATAAAGTGTGGTATGTATCTGCATAGAACCTACATCCATTTGCGATAGATTTTAAGTCCTCTCTAGGTCACTTATAACACCAAATACAACATGATACTGTGCTGTTCTACCATACAGAGAATCATGATAGAAAATCAAAGCATGCATGTTAGTGCAATCTCCCCCACCCCAACACCCCTACCGAGTATTTCCTCTGCAAGGTTTGTTGGAACTGTTGATGCAGCAGGCCCACTGTGCTTACTGAAAGGTTCTTTGTAGTGACAGATAATTGTTAGTATAGCTCTCTGCCCCTCCTGGGAGTCATGTCCTTGTGCGATTGTCTCCCCTTAAGTGTAGCTGGAGCTAGGGACCTGATTCCCTGCAGAGTACAGCAGATGGGATGCACCCCCCACCCCTTCTAAGATGAAATCACAGAAGACCACATCTATGCTGCAATGACTCTAGTGAGGGGTGCTCATTGCTTGAGGCTGCCTTACAGAGTTCCTACATGACAGAGATCTAAGACATGTTCCATCCAACAGTCAGTAAGGAGCTGAGACCCTCAGCTCCTCTGCGTATTTAAATCTTGCCAACAATCCCTAAAGAACTTAAGTAGAATCTTCTTCAGTCAAGCCTTGAAATGAGATCATATCCTGGCTGATATCTTGACTGTAGCCTTGTGGGGGCAAAAGGACTCAGCTAAATCATACCTAGCTCCTGGTACCCGATCCCAAGCCTATGGGATCGTCAATGTTTTCAAGTTCCCTGTATTTTTGGGGGGGGGGCGGATGAAGTAATCAATACTGAACAGACTCCTACATTGCATGTATAATGCTTAGCTTGCAAGATACATACAGCATACAGTGCCCATTTTAAGGATAAGTACCTCAAGGCATAAGCATAAGCATAAGCAATTCATCAGAATCAGGTTGGATAGACTTCAAACCCAGAATTCCCCCCCTCAGTTTTACCTAGAGAGGGACGTTTCACTTGATCCTCAAAAGTAGAAGATGGTAATAACACCCATCACAATGCTCCTTTTGGGTAGTAGGAACCTTCTGTAGACCAGGCAAGTGCTCTGCTACTGAGTCACACCCTTAGCCTCTTGATGGTGGATTCAGGTCAAGCCCTTGACCACTGCCCCTAGTCCCTCATTGTTAGATTTTAGACAATTGATCTACCATTGACCTATGCCCCTAAGTCCTCATTGGTGGATTCTGACCAAGCACTCTACTACCGAGCCACAACATTGCCAGAACTTTTCTGATGGTTCCTAGCCAGGCACTCGGCTGCTGAACCACACCTCTAGCCCCTAACTGTCTATGGCAGTTTGAACGTATTTGCCCCCATAATCTCATAGGGAGTGGCACTATTAGCAGGTGTGGATTTGTTGGAGTGGGCATGGCCTTGTAGGAGGAAGTGTGTCACTCTGGGGGTAGGCTTCAAAGTTCCCTATGCTCAGAATACTTCCAAGTATCTCAGTTGACTTCTTATTGCCTGCAAAATGTAGGATTCTCAGCTTCCATCCTCTGTACCATGGACTGAACCTCTGAAACTGTAAATGAGTCACCCCAATGAAATGTTTTCATTATGAGAATTGCTGTGGTCATGATGTCTCTTCATAGCAATAGAAACCTTAACTAAGACACTGGTAGATTCTAGGCAACTGTTCTACCACTGACCACACCCTCAATGGTCCTTTAACTCTTTTTTTTTTGAGATGGGCTTCACTAAGTTTCCCAGGTTTCACTGGTCTCGAACTCAGTCTGAAGTCCAGGAAGACAGTGAGTTTGTAATCTTCCTGTCTCAGCATCTGGAGCAGCCAGGAGGACAGGACACAGTTAGGCACACTTTAAGCTGCTACTGTACCAAGTTGGAGTCCAGGAAGATGTAAAGAGCTATTTTCTTACAAGTTAAAGTGGATAATGAGGCTGGAGGGGTGGGGAGAAGTTTCCTGTAAGGGGGGAGAGGGATTTAATCTGCATACATTTTGGAAACTTCTCTCTGAAATGAAGCATCTCCTTGAAGTCCTGTCTATGGAAAATGGATTAAGGACCAGGAGTAATCTCGAGAGGTCATTTAATTACCCTCACCCCAGTCATGCTGTTAGACTCTCCACAATCTTTCAAGGCTGCTCCTGGAGCTGTGCAGGAGCCCCACTGGCAGAGGCTTAGAAGGAAGGAGACTATCACCTTTTATCAATTCTTTATCAGGCACAGTGAGTAGCATTTTGCACACATGGTGCTATTTCATCTACACTCTGAGCTTCTTGAGGAAATGTTTGCACCAGCTTTTCACAGATGAGGAAGCATCTGAGACGTCTGCCTCTGGCTGTCACTCAGAAGGGAGAACCATGTGGGAGAAGTGAGTGTCAGCTTCTTCCTGGAAGGCTCTGGGAAAAACCCATTATAAGGCTATGCAATCCAGCCACATTGAACCTCTTAGAAGAGAAAGTAGGAGGTACCCTTGAACAAATTGGTATAGGAGACCGCTTCTTGAACATAACTCCAGGGGCACAGACACTGAAAGAAACAATTAATAAATGGGACCTCTTCAAACTTAGAAGCTTCTGTAAGGCAAAGGACACAGTTGACAAGACCAAACGGCAGCCCACTGACTGGGAAAAGATTTTCACTAATCCTATATCCGACAAAGGGCTGATCTCCAAAATATACAAAGAACTCAAGAAACTAGTCAACAAAACACCAAATAACCCTATTAAAAAATGGGGTACAGAACTGAAGAAAGAATTCTCAAGGGAGGAAATCAAAAAGGCTGAAAGACACTTAAGAAAATGCTCCACATCCTTAGCTATCAGGGAAATGCAAATCAAAACAACTTTGAGATACCATCTTACCCCTGCCAGAATGGCTAAAATTAGAAACACCAGTGATGACTTATGTTGGAGAGGATGTGGAGAAAGTGGAACACTCCTCCACTGCTGGTGGGAGTGCAAACTCATACAGCCATTTTGGAAATCAGTATGGCGGTTCCTCAGGAAAATGGGAATTAGTTTACCACAGGACCCGGCAATCCCCCTCTTAGGCATATACCCAAAGGATTCACATCAATGCAACAAAGACATCTGTTCAACTATGTTCATAGCAGCACTATTTGTAATAGCAAGAACCTGGAAGCAACCTAGATGCCCTTCAATTGAAGAATGGTTAATGAAGATGTGGCACATCTACACAATGGAATACTACTCTGCAGAAAAAAATAATGGTATCTTGAAATTCGCAGGCAAGTGGATGGCACTTGAAGAAACCATCCTGAATGAGGTAACC